CAGCCAGAGCTGAGCCGAAAAACACGTCGGGCAGATGAAAAATGAGGGACCAACTCCCAAAAAAAGCCAAATAGGCAAACCCAAATTTCTTTGCAGGAGGGAAATGGGGTACTGAACCCCAGCGCTGCTGGGCTGGGAGGGATAGGAAATCCCTCCCGATCCCAGGAAAAACTCAGCCGCGGGATGCGCTGAGCACAACCTTTCTATTAGACGCCGGAGAATCCCCACTGTGAGCGGACCCACTGGCTGCAACCCTCCGTAACCCCGCAATCAGAGTCTGTCAGCCGCCCCCCAAATCACCACTGTTCCCAGTTCCCGAAACCGCATCCAGGGCCTCATCCCACTGCTGGGCCCATGGCGTCACGGATTAACCAAAAAGACCCTTTTTCCCACTGAAAAAAACCATCACAGGAATCCCTGTGAGCTCCATGGGATTATGGAGACCTGGTCCCGGTGCCCTGAGGCCATGGTGGTGGACACTGGGCAAAATCTGTCGTGAAAGGAGACTCAAAAGGAAAGGAAAAGGGTGCCCTGATGCCACAGTGACGGACACCAGGAGAAACTCATCATAAAATAAGACTTGCAGGGGGGAAAAGGGAAGCCCTGACACCATGGTGATGGGCACCAAGTGAAATCCATTGCAAAATGAGCCTTGCAGGAGGGGAAAAAAAGGGGGTGCCCATGATGTTGGGGTGCTCTGTAGGCTGGAGTCACCCTTATCCCATGGGCTGAAGGTGCCTGAGAAGGAGGAATGGGATTAAGCAAGAGAAACGGGGCTGTCCTGCGGCCAGACGGGGAAGAGATTATAAATAATCACCAGTTCCACTCCCCAGTTTCCCCCCAAGCACGCGCTGGTGCAGCTTTACCCCCCTCCGACCCCTTTGCTCTCAAACCAGCTCGTGCAAATTGTCCGGTGCAATTAGCTTTAATTAACACCCCGACATTCACACGGAGGGGGGGTCTGCAAGGCGGCTGCGGTGGAAAAATGTTTAGGCTGCCCTTGAATAGGATGCAGGGGACGGCTTCCTCCTTTGGAAACCTTCCGCCTTGGTTTGTCCTTCCTTGGGAGGAGACCGTGGTGGGGACATCTTGGTGGCTCCACGGCAGGGCTGGCACGGCAGAGAAGGAAGCGAAAGCTCCGACTCAGCAGATTTAAAAAGGGATGAAGAGGGGAGGGGGATGCTCCTGCTTTGTTTGTCGTTTGGCTGAAGCTACGACATCCTTGTTCCCAAACATCTCCTGGCTGGTCCTAAAATGTCTTCAGGTGCCCATGGACGTGTCCTACTTGCCCTAGGGTGGTTGGGGATCAAGGCTTGGGTGTTTTAAGGGAAATGCCAGAGTGGCATTTTCGGGTGCTTAACGTGGACCTGTGGGGCCAGGGCACAGGGTCGGTCCCTCCGGCGATGCTGGGTGGCTCTGCCACCGATGTACTCTGTCCTTGGGTGACTCCCTTCACCTCCCCATGCTTTGGTTCTCCATCTCTAAAATAAATCTGCATCTCAGGGATGCTCTGAGCAACCCAGGCAACGTTTTTCCTGCCGGAAATGGGTGAAGTTGGAGATGAGGTAGGTGCAATGAGTTGCCCTGGTCTCAGCTGGCTTCTATAAGCCCATATATGCATATGCAAACATACAGGTACATGTACAGCCACATGTTCACCTGCATGTACA